GATAATATATATATATACAGGTAGGATAAGAAAGTCTAAATCAGCACACCACACACTTGCACTCGTCTTAAATTTACCTGAACGCTTATCTCCTACAATGGGCAACATTAAAGCACATGGGTGTTTTACAATAGAATGGTGTGGTTTCACACAAGAGTTAAACAGCACTTACAACTAATTTATTTTTACAAGTTGTCACTTGAGAAGCTACATAGATCGCACGTCTGGGACTCTTGCCCCTCCGCTCACGGACACACAGACGTTGAAAATACAGCATTAACGGCCACTGAATGCAGGGCTTCCGGAGAAACGCCGTATTGCAGAGGTCTGCCCAGTCAATCGGTGGAGTTGCTGGTGAATCTACAGAACCACATACCAGTGCAACGGTGTAAAACACTACAGCTACTGCGGTAACTTTCCCTGCATGCTGAAGAAAAATGCACCAGAACGCCTTGCTCAAAAAAAAATAATCGAAAAAGCCAACAACGGTGCCTTCTTTGCGGTTGGAATTAATCATTTTTTTCCCTTTCTGTAATGGCTAAACGTAATAATAAAGACAATTTATATGTGAAGACGTTATACAAGCTGTACAGTGAGACGTTTGGAAGATTTTGTTTTGTAAGTTTTGTGCAACGGCAGGAAACTGGCGAATATGGTCAGTAATGACAGGGTACCAGTTTCAGACGTGCCCTGGTGGGTTGGCAGACGTACCGTATGAAGCCCAAAGCGTTTGGCTGGTATTCCGCGAAGTGTTACAGATCATTCCAATGAGATGCGTCTTCTGGTTTCAACACTGATGCAACAATTTCCACAATTATCCTTCAGCCAGCGGCTGGGAGACAAACCCAGACCCCCTTTAAAAATCGGCACCCGTCTGCGCTTTACACCTGAGACGATCCGAAGTTAGCAGCAGCAACACTCTCAAGGACAAGTTTGTAGCCCTACAGTAAAGATTCAGAAACAGGATTAATTCCATACGGAGCACAAGAAACTCCAGGAAATTTACAGAAATTGACCTTCTAAATAATGCATGACTGTATGTGTACTACAGCAACGCTGCTTTGCTCCTACAGAACTATTTTGCGCATATTCGTATCAAAAAGACTTCCTTTCGGAGTTAACGCTTGACGCACGAAAACCAGCTTCATATAAAACCCGTTTCGCGCTGCGTAATCCAAGTGTTATCGTCATCGGTGCTGCTAGGTATGTAGCTATATATTTATTTTTATATTCACGGTATGTTTCTATTGCTACACAGTAAACAAGCCAATTCCGACGCTACCCACAATATTTTCTTAGGAGAAATAAAAACATTTACCTTTCAGATAAAAACTTAAAACTACTGTGAAGTGTAACCCGAAGTGAGGAGATTAAGTGACAGGTGAGGGAAACCGTGTTGCAATTGCTGTAAACCGTACACACTATATTGACACACAAGGCGTTACCTGGTTTCTAGCAAACATCCTGAAATATATATATATATTCTAATGTTGTAAAAGTTACTTCGTCGTTGTTGAACAGCTCGGACGAAAGCTATCTGAATACACAGCGCCGATAAAACAAAACAATTGGTATGTTTTGTAAAAGACGAGGCAACGCGGACAAAAGAAGAAACATTAACTTGGCTACATTAGAAACAACAGAAAAGTAGGAACCACACAACAAAGTGAGAATCTCAGCTGTCAATAGACTAAACAGAAACAATTAGGCAGAATTGTTTATTCTTCTCTAGATAAGGATTCAAATGGTGTAGACCCCTATCCTTCTGTAGCTACTTCCTTATATATTTATAAGTATGGAGTTATGCAATTTAAGAACCTCAATAGCTCAGGCCTCTTCTTCTTGTTTTAGGGTTAATGTAAGTGACTAATGTTCAGCTGTTCATAACCGCAATCCTGGTCGCTGTTCTTACCTCATCCATCTCTTGGATCATTTTGTTGAGTTTTTCATCGTCTTCCAGCAACTCGTTTAGCTGCGAGATGGAGAAAGAACTCAATTTGTTACCGAACCCGGACATATCTGACTTGGCTGTACGCTGATAATCCTGCTTGAGGTTCCCACTGGCTCAAACACAAGGGGAAAAAAAAACTGCTTCCAAACCGGAAGTGCTGTAGATTTCTTGTCCCAAAGTGTCAAATCAGGGAGAAGGAGCGGCGGTGACGTCAGAGAATGCTCTTTCACTGACGTCACTAATAAAGTGTTTCGATGGCTAGAGCAGTACATCCCACCGATTTTCAGACCTCTGTGCTCAGAAACGTGCTTAGTTTTTAATATCGCCTCCAGCAGCTCAGTTACCGCAGTTTCGCATGAGTTTTATAATCATCTTACAGCATTTCTGCTGTTGTTGGAAATCTGGGAATTAACTACAAAATAATTGTTGGAAGAATACTGAGTATTTTTTTCATTAAGGACAGCTGGTATTTCTAAATTAACATATACACACGAAAAACGGAACAAAAAAAGCAACTCTGCATGTTCATAGAGGAATAGTCAACTCAATATATTTTTATTATTTATTATAAACATATTAAGGTCTGCCCTGTGTATTCACATGATGCATATTGGAAAAGCTTTACAGTGTTTTCTAGATTTCATAGACTTTAAGATAAAGTCAGATAAACTTGCTTGACCCACTAAAATTGAGATGCATCTATTTTCCCTGAAACTAGTACAAAAAATGTTTAGAATTTAAACGTCTTGGAACTTGCACTCTGGTGTGTTATTTTAGTGCTACTTGTGTGCTATACGCTTCATTTTTATTGTTAACATAGCAGCTACCACCCACTGGTCTCTTGCAAAGGTGAAGGGGTATCTTTGGACCAGGGACTGTATTATTTTGGGCCGTCAAAGTTGCAAAGACATTGTACAACCATAGCGAGAGAAGGGGACTTATCTGGGACAGCGTACAGTCAGGTAGGGAAGCATGACATCTCACACCTGTAGAAGTGTCAAGAATGATTCACAGGTTAAAGTCTAAAACTCCAGGCGCACAGTCTGGGCAGCAGATGTGCAGATAACATGGCTCCTTGTTTAGAAATTGGTAAGTGGAACTTAGAAATTTAAAATATGCGAAACCTTGTTTTTCGGTTATTGTCCTGAAGTCACCCCCCACTTCACCAGTATATCTGCATATTTCTTTTGTAAGAAAGCTACTCAGTTCAGAATGAAGCACACACAATCTGACAGGAGCAAAATGGTTGCTTTTTTATCACCTTCCTCCTCTGTGAAAGTTTGTATATTATTTAAGTGAGGCAGGTAGGACCAGATACAATGACTTTACCACAAAGCAAAAGTATTAGGGAAAGGATTCATGTTTTATACAATAATAATAATAATAATAATAATAATAATAATACCACTAAACACAGTACAGTATGTCCTAGTTCTATAGCACCAGATTTCTGATGGTCAACCTCGTCACAAACGGAAGTCTTCCTCAGAATCGCTGCTCTCCTCTTTTCTCAGTTTTGATTTTCCCAGGTGCCACATACTGTTCTTTGGGGGGTTCAGAACATCGGCTCCCGTCTCTATCCCCAGCACCTGCCTCTGGACCAGTTTGGAATAGAGGCCCCCCATTGCCATTAACTCCTTGTGGGAGCCTTGCTCTACCACCCAGCCCTTGTCGATCACAATGATGTTGCCCGCCTTCTCCACTGTGCTCAGGCGGTGCGCAATCACCAGGACGGTGTGTCTGTGCATGATAGTGTTCAGAGCCTGCTGAACCTGAGGGGGGAGAAGAAGAGAAGTCAGCTGCAGTGAGTCCTGCTGTTTTTTACAGGCCACTGCTGTTACTGTGAAAAGCCCTGGAGAAACGTTTATCTCAAAGTGAGTTAATAAGGTGCTCAGGACAGCATTTACTGCAAAGAATCGGTAGCTTTATTTTTGCCTAAAAAGGGCATTGCTGTAGATGCTGTAAAATATTTACTCAAAGAGAGTCTGAACCATGATTTGCATTTTTCTCATGATTTGCATGCTGTGGACAATGTTGAGGCCAGTCAGTGTGAGAGAAATATTAGTCAGCTGGAAATAACTATATCATCTTTACCACATAATGGTGTCAGGAATGATAAAACAATTTAAGGTCTTTTCACTTTAGAACAAGCTAATGGGATTTCCCTAACAGCGAAATGTTTTTACTGCAGCGAAGCCTTTCAAAAACAACACCCATCTGCTCTGTCCTAAAGAGATCATATATCCAATATTTCACTAATCATTCCGATCAATTTGGACTCCCAGTAATGGCTGAGTTTGCTAAGCAGACCTGATGAGTTCAGTACAGTCTGAAAAATAATGAAACAATTATGAAACAATGCTGTATTTTTCAGTAAAACATGTTTCGAGATTCTGGATCGTGGACAGCTGGCATGCCGTACACCAGTGAGTGAGTGTTCCTCCAAGGCAAGGTGAGCTCCGTTACTTTCACACAGCCCTGGAAGCAGCTGCAGATGACCTGCCAGCTCAGCAGAGGAAGACTATTCCCTCCTCTGCCCCTGCGCGGATACAGGACAGGCGACGAGACGGCCTGGACTCACGATGTATTCGCTCTCCGCGTCCAGGGCGCTGGTGGCCTCGTCCAGGATGAGCACGTGGGGATTCCGGATCAGGGCGCGAGCGATGGCCACTCTCTGCTTCTGACCGCCGGAGAGCTGGGCACCCTTCTCCCCGACCCCTGCAGAAACACACAAGGGCGTGTGGACGCTCCTCTTAACACTTGTTAAGAGTAGGGTCCACTCTCTGCTCTCATCTTCGTTGGCCACGAAAGACATTCATGTACAACTAACGCATGTAATCTTTTATGTGGACAATATTGTATCCTCCACAGTGTGACCCTAATGTGCAGGAATCGGGCAGAAATGCTGATAACAGCCACAGTTTCAGGATGAGTTCCGTTTTCTTTCCTCCAGCTACTCCATGGTGCTCTACTTTCTGACTTTACAGTCGAAGGAAGAGATCACTGTCTGCTTAATACCCTGCAGTATTCTGGCACTTCAGTATGATTACCTGCATTGCATCCATTTGACAACTGGGTAACATATCTGTGAGTACTGGACTTTGTAGCTGTCTGTTTATAATCCGAAGCAGAACATTTTTATTAACTGCATTAATGCAGTAAATCTTTTCTCCACCATGTTGTTTCAGAACAGACTGAATTTAAACTTCCAAACCAGATTTGAGATGATAATTAAAACTGCCCAAAAGCCCTTCTGATGCTGTTCATTCTGGCCTTTGTTTTGCCTTTCAGATGAATTGTGTTTTGATATTTCTGGTTTTACCTCTTTTGCCAAATACTTTCTTCAGGATGTTACTCCATTATGATATATTTTTTTACTTTACTGGAGAAAGAAGATGTCCATTTACTGACTTACAGCACTTTGGAGGCTTCAGTATAGTTACCTGTATTGTAGCCATTTGGCAACTGAGTCACGAACTCGTGGGCATTGGCTTTTATAGCTGCCTGGACAACTGCATCCATAGAGCAGTCAGTCAGACCATAGGTGATATTGTTCTGGACCGAGCGGGCGAACAGCACAGGCTCCTGCCCCACCAGAGACACCTGGAAAACATGCCGTTCAGATGGCCTCAGTTTGTTTGTCTGCTGTGAATCGGCTGCTTATGTGTGCCTGAACCAGTTAAAATCCATTAACTGCCATCTCTTAGTTTAAACTCTCATAAAAGATATGCATTGTAGTCACCTGGAAAGAAATGTAACATATGCTTCATGAGCAAGTCTCTTTTTTTAAACCGTGTTTTCTTTTTATGTTTCTACATTTAGAACAAAACTCCCCTTGACACATCAAAAGAGCTGGGGTTCACAGATTCCCCACAACCAATACAGTTAAACAATTTGACTTACTGTACATGTCATTCTCTGCAAAATACTCCAAGCTGACTAATATCTACTTCCATCTAGTGGTTCAACTGGGTAAAACATGAGAAATGTGAAGATAAATTATTGGCAGTTTCTTCATTCCAAGACAGGTCTGGATTTCTGGCCTTTGTAAATGTTATTACACAATGGAAACTACACTCACTGCAGCCAGAATCAAGCTTTGCTTTGTGCATGTGTGTGTGTTGGCGGGGGGTGATTTCAAATGAGTGTGTTTCTAAAAAAAAATGCTTTTCTATTCAGAGTTGTTTTCCGTTTCCTCTGCAGAGGAGATAGGACACCACATGCTGGTGAACTAAGGATAGATTTAAGAGATATGTACAAGAGCATATGCAATACACATTAAGGTTAAAGAGTGTAGGCCATTTCGTTTTGACAGAACTACATCCATGGACCTTAACCCTGGTCTTGGAGGATGTCTAACCCTCAAGGAGCTACAGACATCCTCAATCAGGGAATAAAGATCACACCACCCCAAACATTTTGTGGCAAGACACAGTGCTGGGAAAGAGACCCTGCCTCCTCAGACTGACCCTGGCATGCAAGTAGCTGTGCTGGTATTCCTGGACAGGGTGGCCATCCAGGAACACCTCGCCCTGCTGGGGCCGGTAGAAGTTCTCCAGCAGACTGACACAGGAGCTCTTCCCACTGCCTGAGGGCCCCACCAGTGCAGTGACCTCGCCAGGCCTCAGCGTGAAGGATACATCCTGGAACACAGACACGCCCACGCTCAGATCTCCGATCTCAGTTCACTTTGCTTGCGTAAAGGGGATTCCAAGGTATTCACCAGAAATAAGAAGCATCATATCAAGACTACATTATATCTAATGTTAGAGTTTACCACGGTATAAGGGAGCACACACATTGAAAGGGTTTTAAAAAAGATTATTATTAGTAACAATGGTAATTATTTGCTTTACCGATGCCTTATCTGTGATGATTATGTAAGGTCCATTGTAGTCCTTCAGGAAAGATGGAAGTGTTGGGTACATACTTACAAAACACTGAACTCACCTTTAGTATCGGTGTGTCAGGACGTGTGGGGTAGGAGAACGTTACATTCTTGAACTCCACTAGTCCTTTGCAAGTGTCTGGAGCCAGCTGCCCATTGTGCGACAGTTTGGGCTTCCGGTCTATAAACTCGAAGACCTTCTCCGCAGCCCCCACTCCTTGCATTAACCCCGTGTACACCGACGCAATGTCCTGCAAGACATTTCACACACTGGTGTCATCGACAACCCCGGGAAGGATTGTAATCTGACCTCCATTCATCTTATTTTTTTTAAACGGTTCTCAGAATGACTTGATTTATCGATTTACTGTTTTTTTTTTTTTAGTTTTTGATTAATTATTTTTCAATTTATACATTTTGATTTGACCTCTTTGGCTAAATGTGTTCACAGGTTTTCCAAAACAAGTGCACTGAATTCACTGCAGCCATGTATGTCCACCATCTACAGATGCCCAAGTCCATCAGTAGCACAAAACTACAAGGACAGAAGCTTCATCTGCTTTAAATTCAGTCTGATTCGGAATAAAACAATATAGTTCTAAATGTGTGATGAGCAAGCATATCCTGAATGTGAAAAATGTATTTCTTAAAAACTATTCTTGATTAGCATCCGAAATGATCAGCCTGATCAATGCAGTACAGCACAGTTTTTCTACAGATTTAAATGCAGATGAAATAGATAAAAAACTGCTAATCCAAGATCAGTTTCTTCATCCACTGATTTGAACTGCCCCACAACATTGGAGTCTCCTCCAGTTTCTCCTGTTAGCAAGCTGTGCATGACTTTAATGCATTTTTGTGAGCATAGTTTCATCAGTGTGGCCACAGGGAAAACAAGGATCTTGGATTTCATAACACCAATGGTAGAAGATGATATATTTTGAAACATTGTTGTAGATTTTCAATAATGCAAGGGTGCACACAAGGTTCCTATTAATTCTATTTACCTCCAAACACTCTCCTAACTCCAGCTCATAGATGACAAAGGAAATCAGGGTTCCACCAGTCATCTGCCCAGACACCACCAAATGTCCTCCATAGTAAAGAATACTGACCTGCATGGCCAGCTCTGAGATCTGAAAAATAAAAAATTCATTAAAACCTAACTGTATATCGTAATTTTCACTTCTGCGTTGTAACACTGCCGTTTGGACACGAATGAGTGGGGTCCTGGTGGAAAGAGAGCTCTATGTACATCAAAATCAATCTTGAATTTGTAAATTGCTGACTTCACATCTTTTAAAACATCCCCGCACTATGTTAAGACGATTATGAAAATTAATTTAATAAAAAACAAACTTTTTCCAGCATCAGCATCTGCTAAGTTTAAGAAAACTTCAATGGATAACTATTCAATAAAATATCAATGTATAAGTAGAAAGCAGTCTTTCGCAATGTGAAAGATCACAGTGTACCACACAAAATTTTCCAGGACCACATCTTTTAAAGCATTTTACTCCACTGCAAAATCTTGCTGCATTTTCATCCATCCATCCTCTAACCTTCTCATCCAATTCAGGTTTGCTGGGGAGCTGGAGCCTATCCCAGCAAGCAACAGGTGCAAGGCAGGGTACACCCTGCACAGAATGCCAATCCATCGCAGGGCTTACACAAACACAGACACACCCACACACGCACACCTAGGGGCAATTTTCCCAGAAAGCAAATTAACCTACTACTATACTAAACTAGCTCAGGTGGGTAGCTGCGTCAGCATGCGTAGGCTGGAAAGGAACAAGTAATAGGTTTGTTCCATGCTGAAAAGAGAAGAAAGGAAACAACATTTCGGCTGTCGAGCCTCATTTCCTTTCTTCTCTTTTCAGCATGGAATAAACCTATTACGAGTATGTTCTTGAAACGTAACGTCGCCAAATGGGGTTTCTCCAAGGCGAGGGAGCTCTGAAAGGTTCCAGAGTTCCAGGACAGGGAAAAGGGCTCGGAGGGACTCTTTCATTGCGCGCATCCGGCCCCATCACCCACTTGCACTGATTGAGATGTTTTCCCTGAAATAACGTTTATTTTGATTGGAAAAAAAAACAAACTAGTATGTCTTTGGACTGGGAGAGGAAACCGGAGCACCTGGAGGAAACCCACAGGACAGCAGGGAGAACATACACATACCACGCAGACAGCACCCCAGGTCTGGAATTAAGATCAGGGCCCCAGCACTGCAAGGCAGCAACGCTAACCCCTGTGCTGCCCTCACAACAGAGCCAAAATTACGTTTAACGTGACAGACATTCATTTTATTTTCTGTCTCCCACACTTATTTCGTCTCCAGTTGGATAGATGTCTTTCGCACTTTATACTGAAAATGTTAATCAAATCGAAAGCATATTCTGCCCCCGAGTGGGTATTCGCAGTGAGAAAGCCCAGGTGTGATACTCTAGCAGGGTACGCACACAGCTGCACCACATGTAACAGGCGTAGGCCACAGCCTGCCTCTTGTTCAACTGGAACATCTCCTGAAGCTTCGCAAAATAGTTGTCGGCCTCCGCATCCTCGTTGGCAAAGCTCCTGACCGTCTTCATGGATGAGATCGTCTCCTCCGCAACCTTGTTGGCCTGGGCGAGAGAGTTCTGCACCTCCTTGGCGAGTTTCTGTGTGAAAGGGGTGACATCATTAAACTAAAAACACCACAGCATTCTGATCCTGGAGATGTATGCCCTCCTCTGGGAGAGCAGTCCTTCTAAGTCTTTGAGAAGCAGAAATCGCTTAGGCCAAAGCTCTTCGGTTGGCAGGTACTCGTATGTATAGGACCTTATATTCAAACACTAAAGTTCTTAATTCCTCATAGAAAGTAATAGATGTTTAAGTTCTTCCAAGAGTTAAATACTTCAGTGAGGCATTTGTGTTTTTAATCATTTCATCTGAAATCCATGAATTTGGCTAGAACCAAAATCACATGTATTTCTAGGCTTTTAATTAGAGTAACCTGGGTAAAAAGGCTTTGCTGAAAGGCACGCCCGCTGTTTAAATCCCTTGCATCATGCAGCTACTGTGACATGTAACTGCGATATGTAGGCGACTTCCATATCTACAGTAAGCCACCTCATTATCAGGCCAGAGCTCATCTGGTTTCTGTAGAGGTAAATGAACAAGCCAGCTTGTGACCCCCCCAGGAGGGACACCAGTCCACTGCAGGTATTACCCCCACCCCCAGCAATGTGGTTCCCACTTATACAGCTGGGAGGACTGGAGCAACTGGGGTACAGTACCTCACTCAAGGTGCAAGAGCAGTGTCTGCAGCAGGGACTCCAGCCCACAACCCACTGGACATGAGCCATGCAATCATGCAGCCTAAAGGAACACGCTTGTGTGGTTCCAGCGAAGAAGCCCCTGTGCAAGCGTGCAGCATGAGAGAGCAAAGAGACAGTGTGGACAGGGCAGGAGAGCACTTGCCTTGTAGTATTCCCCATAGAACTTGGAAACAATGGCAATGAAGGGGAACCCCATTAGGGTGACCAGGGAGAGCTTCCAGGACATGCCGAACATGAAGATGCAGTAACCCACGCCCTTGACCAGGCTGCGCAGGAACAGGTTGACGTTCTCCGAGATGAGGTCGCTCACCTGCGTCGTGTCCGAGGTCAGCCGAGAGGTGATGTCGCCTGGAACCGAGCAGAGTCAGGCTCGGGCATACTGAGGCGACACAGCAAGACTTCACTGTCCTGAGTGACCACAATCCATGGCTCAGCTGGCTCACTGGACCGCACAGTACCCTGACTTCCCTGCAGCGAGTGTGGAGCGAAACGGAAGAGCAAGACTTCCTCGCGGATGGGACTCTTGCCCTTCTGAGGTCAAGCCCCTGAAATGCTAGTTCCACTTACGCAGCTGGTTGAAAGGAGCAAAAAGGGGAGAGCACCTTGCTCAAAAGTGCCAGCAGCATGCTCTACACCAGAGGACTGAACTCACAACCCCAGGGGTACCACTCTGCGCTGTCTCCTCACTGTGGCACGGCACTCGCGCCCTTCCATTAAACCAGAACCCATCCTCACATTCTAGCATTTATTTTTACATAAAAGCAAAAACTGTGCTTTTATATTAAAGGCCATGTGTTATTGATGACCGTAAGAATAATAATTTACTCCTGTACATTTACTCCAGTACAAATATTAGGTAAATAGTGGTCCCATTCAAAAATGGTGTATTAGAGTAACCTACCTACAGTACTTACTGTTTTAAGTACTTCAGTCCTATTAAAATCATGCTTGGTGCCTACCCCCGTCCTACAATCATGTCCATAAAGGACAAAAAGAAACATCACTATATTCACTATATAAAGTCTGGAAGCACAATGTATGGGAATATATAGCATCAAGTTTATTGAGCGTGTAGAAAAAAGCCTCACTTCAAAAGTTACAATCTAATGATTTTTGTCTTCCAACTTTGCAGCAATTTTAATATGAAGAGAAAAGGCAAGTAGTCTATTGTTACCTGTGTGATTTTCGTCAAAGAATCCAATCTCCTGGTGGACCAGCGACCTGAAGAGCAGGTTACGTAATCTCACATTCAGTCTGGCAAAAGTCAAGGAAAAAACGCCACCTCGAACTCCCATTGCAATGGAGCTGGAAACAAAGCCAAACATAAAGGGACACTTGTCACATTAACCTCAACGCGGGTGCTTCCTTTGCTGTAGAATTTGCATTTTAATGCCAAGTTTAAATGCTGCCTGGACATGAATAGTTCAAGGCTCTGTTACAAAAAGCCATCACGATTAGCCATATCACCCTGCAACTCACAACTGGCAGCCCACTGAAACTAAGCAAACTGAGCCTGGTCAGTACCTGGATGGAGAGACCTCCTGGGAAAAGCTAAGGTTGTTGCTGGAAGAGGTATTAAAGGGGCCAGTAGGGGGCGCTCACCTTGCGGTCTGTGTGGATCCTAATCCCCAGTACAGTGACCCTATAAAGTAAAAAGGCGCCGTCCTTCGGATGTAAAACCGAGGTCCTGACTCTCTGTGGTCATTAAAAATCCCAGGGCGTTTGTCAAAAAGAGTAGGGGTGTTACCCTGGTGTCCTGGCCAAATTTTCCCCTGGCCCTTACCAATCATGGCCTCCTAATAATCCCCATCACTCTGTTCTCCTCCCCACTGAGAGCTGACGTGTGGTGAGAGTACTGGTGCACTATGGCTGCTGTAGAGTCATCCAGGTGGAGCTGCACACTGGTGGTGGTGGAGGGGATCCCCATTACCTGTAAAGCTCTTTGAGTGGAGTGTCCAGAACAGCGCTATATAAGTGTGAGTAATTTTAAAACCAGATATGGAATCAGCCCTGAGAAGAGTAATCAGGTAAACACTCCCAGGCAAAAGAAAACAGAAAAAAAATCAGAATTGACAGTGAAACACCAACCAGAGTAACAAATGAACAAGTAAACCTTTTCTAGGCAAAACGTTGCGAGACTGTAAACTACCCATGTTGTCACAGCTGACAGCCTGGCATCTTTCCAGAAGTGGCAGGATTAAAACATTGGACAGTTAGTTGCTAAAAACCCAAACAAGTTCATTCTTCTCTTGTTTGTACCCTCTCCTACTGCTGCTTGTCCAGCGGAGAGCAGCAGAAGCCACTGCTACACAAGAGGTTCTGCACACTGGAGATGGGAGAGCAGGGAATGCTTGGCTTACTGTGAGCATTTGTCATTCGAGGGAAAACCGATACAAGCCTGAATACAGTAGACATGAGAGCTACTGTATGATAAGGAATAAAAGTCATGGTAATCGGTCAGTCTTAATGATTTACCTTACAAGTGCAAAGACTGTCAAATAGATTATGGGTTTGGTGAAGTCTGCCATGCTCTTATGAATAACAATCCCATCAATCGCCTGTCCAGTGTAATAAGGGATGAAGGCTTCACCTGGAAAAGGAAACAAGTACAAGGCAAGTTTAACAGGCTTACAACATTAAAATGCGCAATGCGGCGCTGTGGCTCGTCCTGTAGCGCGCTGGTCTGCAGTCACTGAGGATCCGGGTTCAAATCCCCAGAATAAACTGCTCTCGGTGAAGGTCTGGATTCAAATCCACAGACTGCAGAGCCCTTGGTGGCGGAGCGGAGGCACTGTGGCTAAGGATCTGCACCTGTGGCTGGAAGGTTGCCGGTTTGTATCCTGCGGCTGGCAGAGGTATCCTACTCTGTTGGGCCCCTGAGCAAGGCCCTTAACCCCAGCTGCTTCAGGGGCGCCGTATAAATGGCTGACCCTGCGCTCTGACCCCAAGCTTCTCTCTCCCTGTCTGTGTGTCTTACGGAGAGCAAGCTGGGGTCTGTGAAAAAGACAAATACCTAATACAAGAAAACATATGTGGTCAATAAAGTGATGTTAATACAGTCATCAATTCAAACAGGTGATAAGATCTACCATTACTAAACCTGCAGGTCATTTCGAAGTCAGTGGAAACTCGTGCTTTCGAAAAGGAATTGGCAATGACAGTAAGGTGCTGCACTTTAACAGTTGCTAAAACCAAACCACGAAGGTCAGGAGAGTGGCCATGCGAAGCAACAGCATGATGTCATACTCTGTGGGGGAATCAAAAACCCTAACAGGTTTGCAACATCAGCAGCTTATAACGACTAAGCACATCTGCATATCTGCGGCCATTACAAAAAACCCAACTATTACACTGCTTGTTGCAAAATCAGAAAAAATAAAGTCTGAAATTCTAATGGCCAGTTTTTTAAGACAAATAGATCATGCCGATATCTAAATTTGTTAGGGGAGTGTGTTGAGTCTTGTTAAATGTCAACCACTGCAATCGTTAGCTTTTTGATGCCCACCGCTGGTATCTTCCTTTCATGAGAGCATCTGGGCCCACAACTGAAGTTTTCTGGGCAAAACGGGTGAATGTTACGAGACTAAATGCAGAACACTTTCGATTCCGAAAGGGAAAACTCACACAAAGCAGAGATGAGGAGGAATAAGAAGGCGACCCCCAGCAGACCAGCATCCTTCCTGCAGTAGGCCAGGAGTTGGCTCACTGTCGCTGTGGAACGAGACTCTCCCTTCCTCTTGTCACTGCACTTTTCACCCTCCTCCTCGCACTCGTCGCCGCTGCAGTCCTCCGGGCCCAGCACCGGCGCCCTGTCTCCTGAGTCCTCGCTGCCCGCGTTGATCTTCAGAGACGGCCTGGGCGGCCTGACTCTGGCGAGCAGCTTCCACAGAAGCACCGTCCCCAGCGAGGAGGCGCAGGTCCACGAGAACAGGCTCAGAAACCAGGGGCTGTGCGTCAGCGAGGCCTCGTGCTCCGAAAAGAGCAGGAGCTTGGTGACGGCGTACACCATGACCACCAGGCACAAGATGACGGCCAGGTTCTGGGAGTCTGCCACCCTCCGGGGGCCCTCCGTAACGTTCCTCGACACGCCGATAGCAGCCCCCAGCAGCAAGGTGACCCGAACTAGGAGGGTCACCCACAAGTCGACCGTAGAACAGAACAGGTCGAAGTTACCCAAGTCCTCCATGAACAGGCTTATCCTGGTCCCACGAATGTACAAGAGGGTGGTGACCATGATGTCGGCCAGGATGAACAACAGATTGCAGGCCACGGCGACCACAGCCCTCATCGTTACTGCTACCCAGCAGAGGTCTGGTTTGGGCCACTGGGGTCTCCAACGCACTCAGCAGCTGGGCTGGAAAAAGAGAAGATGATTTTGGGCCCTGGATGTGTACCACCACCACCGACTGGGACTTCAGTCCCCGCCGCCTGCCTTTCCCGCTTTCATCGACCGCCCTTCTGAACACACGCTTCATGTGATAAAGGATACCAGAAGAAATGGAGGACGCCAGAAGAATTCTGAATTTGATTACATTTTTGCGGGATTAATAACATCGCAGAACCAATCAATTTGAGAAAAGCTTTATTAGTCTTTGCCCTAAAGCCAGGTGCTCATGACAGGGTTTGGGTTTTTCTGTGAGGAAGAATATTTCTTTTTCCCCCATTGCACCAACATACTGTAACGCATACGGCCATCAGGGTGTGCAAGAGCCGGCTTACCAGAGCAGGTGATGTCGCCGCCCTTCCCTGTGATAGCAGGACTACAGCTACTGGGCTGTGGAGAGATCTCTCTTTAGCTCACCGGGCTGGGTCCCCGTTGAGTGACGCGGGAGTCCCGGGTTCGAGCCCCCGACGGTGGGGGGCCGACCTAATGCGGCAAGGGCGCCCGCCTGAGCCCCCGTTGCGTTACAATACTGCAGAAATTCGCCCGGTCCAGATCACAACCACAAGAGTCAGTGCGGCTCCTTCATCAAAGCAGAAAAATAATGAATCTACTAATTCTTTCCTCTGTTGTTAAAGCTTTTCTGCGAATTTCAAAGTTCTACGTTTTTACCAAACCACAGAGAACAGTCACAGAGAAAGCAGTGAACACGTGCAGTGTGCACCACTTATGCCAGATACAACAGATGTCTGCCAACAGTCTCTAATAACATTAGGAAGCTGCAAAGATTCCTTCCTAAACAAGCATAATCTAAGCAAGCATATTCAAATACCACACCTGATTCTTTCCTATGACAAAAGACTACAATACTCTTTAAAACATATCAGTCACGAGAATATTTAAGCATTATACTGGAAGTTGTACTTCTGTATCAATAAGAGAATAAGCAGGTGCTGAGTATTATTGATTATTATTATTATTATTATTATTGACTCCTCAACTTTACAATCTTTTAATGTTCTGCGCCTGAAACAATTCACAACAATCGCTCACTGGTGCAATGATCAGACCACACATATAAACACCAATAAAATAAAAATACATTTTTATGCGAAACGCGGTGTTCTTTTTATTCTAAATTTATGAGTTAGGTTTTACTAATTGGAATTGTACATGACTAAAACCAAATATTTTTAAAAAAACGAAAAATTTTAAAAAACGTAAATCTCAGTGGAATACCGTCTCCCTCTTACCTGGATGTAAAACACATGACCTTTTATTAAAGGCATCGCGGAAGGTTGAGAAATAATTCGTTTAAGACGCATTCGAAAATGCCATCGCCTCCACAGGTATCAACGTTACCGATTATTGAATATAAATACGAAGCGCGTTTTTTTTATTCTCAGTCATTATAATAAACGTGACATTAAATCGAAGGGAAAAAAAATATCTGCGCACTTATAATTTACTAATGTGGCTGCTTTATAGAATCAGAAGGAAGAACCCAAGGTGAAAATGTTGCAGTGCTGAATGCTGTACATCTGAGCACGAAAAATGTCAAACCCACTGACAGTTCTGTAGTTGCGGTTGTTAAACTCACCCTCGCTCCCACGGGACTGAGCCGACGGCTCTTTCTGGCAGCTCCGACCTGACAAGCGGGCGCACATTCGGTCCAGCTTACCGACTGCGCTGGGACATCACGCGGAGCACCACGGAGGAAGGCCGGTGCATCTTTAGCCCAGGAAAGACGAGCGAGCCCCGCCTTCTCCGCACGCCGCCTTAGGAAAGCTGCCTTGGAGGCTGAGCGAGAAAACCGCCGCTCGCCGAGTGCGGCTCTTACAGAAATCGAGCCTTGATTACATCAACTGTAATGGGAACCAGTTCGCCCCTGTGAAGCGAGGCGCTACTGCCGACGTCCCCTGCACGACACTATAATCCTGCGATGAATGAGTCTAGGACGTAGCTCGTATAAGAGAAATGTAAAAAACGTCGTTTTTGTAACGAATCTATTGCTAATATACTAATGATGTAATACGATACATTCAAAAACACAGAAAAGCAATTAATATTTAACTATTTTCGTGGAAATAATAATGAGGTCAGAGCTAGAGACAAACGATACCCACAGTATCATCAAATTCCAAATGCAGTCCGGAAAATTCTCAATTGTAACATGTTGCTATTTGCATTGGTCTGTTGGATATGTTTCAAAATGTGTCCAAACCTTACTTCATTGCATATCTAGGGGATCTGCTACCTACCCCCTCTCACCTCTTTTACATGTTCTGAGTGTTAACGTTTTTTTTTTGCGCAAGGTGTCTGTAGTTTCTTCACAATTGAGAAACGAGGTTTTGCTTGCGGCGTTAACTGAAATCCAGCAGTGGTCTATAGTTCCTGCTCCCGAAAAACGCGACTCGGCTGTAGCGTGCCATCGTTGCTATACTGCACTTGGTACTTCGGAGCTGTGAAACAGTGGAACGCAACCACCCATTGCCACAGTTGTCTATTTCCACAGTTTATCTGTTCATCTTTGTCTCGGTTAGAACCCCAGCTGCAGACCAACTTCCGAATACTGTAGTGCACAAACTAAATTGAGAGGACGGTCGTTTGCTTTCATTGATAAATATTTATTTTGCATATGTTTCTGAACTCTGTAGTAGTATGACCCGTCGTTTAATGTACAGTACACAAGGGCTTGACTGAGATGCCCTTACCTCTGCAATGGAGCTTGGTTGAGTCCCCTGTGAGTACTGCAATTTTAATTTAAGTGTGGCAATGACACAGGAGATTAATGCACAGCCATTAGATGTCCCAATAGCTTTCCCAAAAATAGAATACTTCAAGACTACCGTTATGAAAACATCAGTATGCATAACAATTTGCTGTCAGATTGTTCCCTTTATCCCTGTCTTAACCACTCTCAAATGATGATAAACTTGAAGAATATTGTCACTGCTTCCTATGTCTCAAACACTCCCACTCTGATTTTTCCCCTTCTGTAGAGACACAGCTAACATAATGGTTACATTTCAGCTAACACAGCAGAATAAAGATAGTTATGAATTTTGGAAAGTGGTTTAGAAAATGCTTCAGATTTTAAACCGTTAGAATATACCATCAATGACAGCCGCAGATATAAAAATAACCCCCAGGACAAGACGACACCTACATGAGCATTTTAAAATATGCAAGTCTCATTTCACTTTATCTGGTCCACTCTTTCAAAAGGGTTTCATCACAGAGCAAGTGACCAGATAAAATATTGTTCTGAAAGAGTGGAGATGAAACAAAGCTCTCTCGGGCAGCAGTTTTGAACATGCAGCTGAAACAGTCAAATAAATTAATCCAGTTTTGTCATTTACCATTTTTTTTGGAAGACACTAACAGTAGAAAATGATTCAGAGATAAGACCATATATTTACATTCATGTGTAAAAAGCACTTTGTACTGTACACATCCAAAGGAAAGCATGTACATTTCTAAAGACAGTTTTAGTGCTGCTGGCATAAGAATCTACCCAATTAACCAAAAAGCCATGCTGAAAGACTAAAGTTATTTTATTATTCCAAATCCAAACAATTCCCTACAAGGGCAAAATATATATACAGATCCACATTCCCCTCCTACCTTTGCACCACATTCATGTAGAGTATGAAAAGGTGTTTTTTTAAGCAGCACAGTCATTGTGAGATTGAATGAGATGTCAGCTGGGAGAAAGCGGATTCAACAAATCGCACCTATACGAAATTAAGTCCCACATCTTACAAAGCTGCACATGCAGGAGAAACCCATTAGAAATAAAAAGTGAACATCTCTGAAAATAAGTTATTGCAAACCAAAATTAAACACTTGAGTCCACAAAAATTCTAGAAAGGTCATTGGCCACCACACACTTTGCCAGGGGCTCTCGATCCTGTCTCTTTATTCGCACCAAAGGAACCCTCAGGATCAGCACTGAGAACCACTGCACCCTACAGAATTCCAATGACAACAACAACAACAACATTTGATACAGAACTGCACACAGTTCAATTTGAAAAAGATAAGTTAAGACAAGCACTGATAACTGGCTCTACTTCTGAAGTGATGGCCCTCCACTCGTAAGGAACAGCTTAATAATAATAATGTTAGACCTTGCCCGCACTGGGCAATTAAACCAGATTTATTGCCTTCAAACCAGACTCAGGGTGCTCAGTAGGCTTAGCATCCACATTCAACATCACGTCTGAGATTACCTCAGGGCACAATCAGTCTACTTCTAAAGTAGGCTGCAGGAGCTGGTGCAGTTCATCCTGGAATATAGAATGGCATTTCTATTTTATCTTCATGAGTTCCAAAATACTATTCAACAGTTCTGTATGTTTAGCATACTACAAATGACAAATATTACTGATACTCTGAACAGGAGCCCATGAAGATCATGGATGAGAAGCAATTAGTCATTTCAACTTTGTTAGTAATGAAAAAAACAACAGTGATTTGAGGGCACGAAAAAATGAATACATTTAGACTGGGACTGATGAGGCAGAACTTCAGATCGCAAACATGCCTCCGATTGTGTGATCTTTATAAATAAAGCCATATGCACTGAGATTGGAATAATCTGTACTTATAATATACAGAATATTGTGGCACACTGTCACATGAAACTCCAGCATCCAATCTGTTTTCAAAAACCTTAGTTCATATGCATTAAGACTGAGAAAATAAGATGCAGTACTTCAATGTGGGCTCTTCGAGATTGGTTACAATTTTAGTCTCCGATTAATTCTATCCGGAGTACCTAATTAAACCAAAATAAATTAAAAGGGTCAGAGGCAAGAATGAAAAAATCTCTTCTCTGTTATTTTATTATCCTGGCTTGAAGGATGATCTCCCAAAGTTCTTCTGAAGTCAATGATGGCTTCACTGTGAAATAACAAATGTTATTTTGATGAAAAGTCATCCCTGTGAAGTATCTTGCTGTAAACGGAAAGTTAGTTGCAAATTGAAACAGAGTAAAGTAAATGGGAAACCAGCTAAACTGCTCTCCACAGTCTTTGTGTTTTGGAGGAGTTATAGAAGAAGTAGCATGCAAAACCAAGTTGAGCCGGAGACCCGATTCAAAAAGCATGGCTTCATCTTCAGCTTGTTCTTCGCTTGGAAACTCTCCAGGACTTCTTCTGTCTGTAGTGTGGACAGACAATGCCGCTTCCCAAAATATTGTGCAATCTACAGTGCACATTAAGGCAGATGTTCAAGACAATGAAGCGTATGCCAAGATATGGGCTGCTTCCTGCATATGAATGCAGGAACTCCCTACAGAACCAGTGTGGAAGTCCGTCTCCATGTCACACCTCCAAGACTCCTGCATCTTCAGTGAACATGAGGAACAGGAGTGTACTCCGAGTCTCTCTTCTTGCCATCAGGCCCAGTCTGGTCTGCTGTCAGAACAGTTTCCACTGGAAAAGACAGGTAGTGACTTTCTTTGAGCTTCTTAAGCTGTGCAGAGTCTCCTGGTCCAAATATGGGGTCTGTCACCTTGAACGTTATGGAAGGCATGGTCCGCGCTCTCCGCTTGGCATTCTTCTTTTCCTGTTTGTAAGCCGCATTCATGTTGGCTATTACCTGTGAATGAAAAGCAGAGACACTGCCAATCCACAATGTAACACAGCTCTCCTTTAATACACAATTCCACTCTTCTTGATAAGGTATCCCTTCTGTATCACCACTTTAATTTTTCCTTTTGGAGTCTTACCCTAGTGCAGCACTGTTTCTTTTTATACTGCCACTGCTCTTACTGGCAGTTTTCATGCCCATCTTGCATCTTATGGCACATGGTATGATGACAACACAGAAATGGAAAACATGAAGGAATGAAGATTCAAGGTACCTGTTCTTATTCACTTAATACACAGTTGCATTAATGGAAGGATAATGTTAATGCCGCATTTTTGTCAAAATTCATAATAAACCTGAATTCTATACATTTGTTCATTATTTGCCGTGTGTTCGGTTTGGCAGGCTCGCACTTAGAGAAACACATGACGGCTCATTTACCAGCTGTTTCACAGTGTTCTGTTGCTCTTGCATTGCAGCGGTGAAGCTGGTCACACTCTCATCCTTGATGGGGCACCCCTCTTGCCCTTGGTGATCCCTGAGGGGGTCGAACTCGATCTTTCCAAAGAAAACGGGAGGGTTAAAAACCGGTGGAGACAAGGACTTCCCTTTCACAGTCAAACATGATTACATCCAGTCAATTCACACGATCTTTGGCACAAGCAACCATCAGACCAACCACTGGTCTAAAAATTGTGCATTGCACTTGTGGCAGGATGGAATAGAAGAGATTTTTCATCAGGTCTAACACTCTGCAACTATAGAACACATTCTCAGACAGATCTGCGTCAAAGCACAGCTCTGCAGGGCACAGTAACTGCATATTAATTTATAACAAAACTCTTCCTTATTGCTGTGCCTTTAAAAAATCCTTGTAGTAAATAACAGTACATTTGAAAAAGAAATCTTTATGATCTCGCACCTCGTTTGGTAAGTTTGCTTCTCTGTTGAACATTATATAGAAGGGTGTGAATTTGGTAGTGGGGTTGATGGAGTTTCTGAATACGAACAGCACAGGATCGAGGTAGTCATCCCAGTCGGCCTGTTTCTCAGTCACCACCTGTCTGATGGCTTCTTTCAACATGTCATTGCTGCGGTCATACAGGGCGGAGAGCTGAGGCTGATCCACAGGAGAGACTTTCTGGACTATATTCCACTTGTCACACAAGAGCTTGGTCACCTGAGAAGAGACAAAAATCAGGCTTCCAATTGACAGTGAGCTAAAACACAAAGGAAAACGAAAACAGAAGAGCAAACTTGTGCAAACAGCACAAGCTGAACACGGTGTACAAACAACTTTTTTCTTACCTCTTCACAGAATTCCGTGCTTTGACAGCAAAACACTGTTTTAGCTGACCCAAACCTAGTTTTGGATTCAAATTGAAAAAAAAAAAACACTTTAATCACATAATCAAAGATAACCAGCATTTAAATCACAAGCAACCTTTGCTGCAAACTAGGTATTTCATTGCACTGTACTGACACACAAAAACAATATGAGAATCTGATGTTCATGTTGTTATAATCTGCAGTAGTCATTAATTTACGGTGCATATTTATAAACACTATCGCCGAGTTTCTTCCCTGATGTTAATAGGAGTCCGTTTAGGATTTTTCTTAAAAGTAGTGAAGATCAAAGCACGTTTCTACAAGTTTAAAGAACAACTAAAATGAGGAATTCATGTGACATTCCAAATGAAGAGTGGAACACAAACCAGAGGACACAAGTGGAAACTACATGGAAGTGTGCTGAAAACTGAGAATTGAAGGTATTTCTTTACCCAGATGGTTGCAGGAGTGTGGAACACACCATCCATCCAGCTGCCTGGTTGGACATCTTTCCAGAAATGTCTGTATGTGATCCTTGGATCAATTAGCTACTCAACAAGGCCCAGATGTGTCAAAATGACCTCCGTACTTATAGTCTCATGTTCTAAGGTCTATGAAGTCCCACTTATTTATATTACCTGTAAAATGTTGAAGAAATGCATCGGGCTACTGACAGAGAGTCCTTCTTCTGTATGGGAACAGCTTCTACCCACTTGCTTAAATAATCTGTTATTACGACAACGTACGTATTATCTCTCTTTGTTTCTGGAAAAGGACCTGGAACCCAAACAAAACACAAAGGAAGAAGTTTGTTTAACGCAGACAGACCAATACCCTATTCACCACTTTGTCTATGGGTCATAAAAACACAATGAGATTGTTAAAAAAAAAAGTTAGTTGCATGAATTTTCAAGAGCAACATAATTTATCACAGTTTGTTTTTAACTACATGCAATCTTTTCCAAAAGCCATCTTTTCCAAAAAGTTCAGGAACAAGGTGGTATGGTTTTTCTGTGAACTGCAATCACTCCAACTGAAGTGGTTTCACAGAAATGTCGAGAGAGACCAGCACTATGCTCGCCAGTACTTAAACAAAAATCTTGGCAACTGACAGAAAAGAGACAACGAACTTTCATGAGTTTCCAGATACTCAGAAACTTAAAGTAAAAAAAAAACGCAGCCAAAAATCCCTGTTTGCATTAAAGCTTGATACTCTGCATGTTACTTATTTCACTTTTGAGAGCTTAGGCATGACTTACAGTCATGCAGCTGGATTTCCAGCCACATCCTTTTTAAAAACGTGTTTTCGCTTTGGACATGATTGCTATAAGATGTTGGGTTACCAAAAATGTTGATGCCAAGGATCTCCCAGGGAGCTTCAACTTTGATGGGTCGCACTTTCCTGGACATATTTTTATTACGCTCGGCGTTTTGGCAGGTTTCACAGACTTTAATCTAAAAAACACACAATAAGAATCAAAATAAACAGGGATAAAAAGAAGGGTTTTGTTACAGTCCGTTAACAATATTCAATCCTATTCACAGTCAGAAACTTTAATAAGTACATATCAGCAAATAGCACTTAAAGCAATAAATGGCCAGGATTTCAGTAAAGAGAATCTACAAAAACAAAGACCTATTTAAAATTCATATACTGTAAAGTGTTTATTACACTACAGTAAGTATTGATTTTAGAATTTTTCTTTATCATAAAAAACCATTATCAATTATCAAAAATATCATAAAAACTAATGGTTTAAGATCCAAGGATTATTTGTAATGTGTGCTATAATAAACTTTGCTCATGAAAAAGCCTCGATTTCATCAGTTAAAACCCTTTCAAATTGTGAAATTTGCCCAAATAATTATGTAGCACTTTAAAATGATTCAGTGAGTAAATCAAATTCTAATAAAATGAACTGTTTTCGTTACTAACACACGTTCTTCCTTCTCATGTGCCAGATGTTTTTATGTCATGCTTAAAATCAAATTTCAGCAGGTGAACATAATGCAAAAACAAATCAGTTTATTTTTCCCTAGTCTACCTACCCCTTGGTACCAACAGATATTTAATGTAGACAAGTACCTAGTATATTCAATGCAGATAACAATATCATACAGCATACACAGAACCTGTGAGATATTGAGCATGAAAAAGCTAGGTTATGTTGACAATTTTCTTCTGGCCATCACTTTGTCTTCTAGTTAGAAGAAGCATATAAAAGTGCAGAAAAAACATTAAAGGATGTTATGTTAAAATAATGCAGGAGCAAGAGCTTATTCAGACAAGGAAAAGTCCAGAGAAGGTGACCAATATCTTTCTCCAACAGACCAAAAGAACAGAATCTTTTAGTCATTAACTGAAAACACTTAACACAATATGAACACAATATGAACAAACAGCCCGGTTACACTCTCAAGGGAACTGGCAGAAATCAACTGGACTTCATTAGAACTCACAGAAGAACATGGATCAGAGGACACCAGTGGCAACTACAGGGAAGTGCACTTCGAACTGAGACTAGGAGGCACTTTTTACACAAAGGGTTGTGGGAGTCTGGAACAAGCTGCCCAGCCATGTTATCAAAGCTGACAAACTGGCTACCTGTCACACTTCTATCAATCAAATGAGAGAGATACTGTAGGTAATAAATGAGAGAATACTGTTTAGCCCTTCTTATGTATAAGTGGACCCTACAAGCAGTCTTTACAAAATTCTTTGTTTAATCAAAATACAAAAGATATTCACTAATTGCTGCTGCTTAATAAAAGGCAACTACCCGCCATCACTCATTTTGACAGTGCATGTGGCCCAATCAGAGCACCTCTACATACCCAGTCCACCACATCCTTCACTATTCCAAGCCAGTAATATTTGCTCTGGATCCTGTGAACGGTTTTCTTCTGCCCCAGGTGGTGGCCAATGTCACTGAAGTGACACTCGAGAAACACCTGCCGTTTCCTCTCGGCGTCGATCACAACCTCACGCTTCTCCTCTTTCTTCTGCCCCACGTAGAACAGCCGACCGCCTGGCAATACACGGGCCCCAGGAAAAACAACATTGTTTAGACTTCTTTTCAGGCTGCAGCTATCCTTTTCTCACAGTTAACCAAAAGCACAGCATTCCTCCATTAAAAACGAGAAGAAGGAGGAATTATTTGAATGGTATTACCAGAGCTAAGAACATGTTTTAAAGTTCAAAACTGCTATTGAACTCCAGCGATAAATCTCGGTTTACAAACAACGAAAAACTCTTCAGAACAGACTCCAATGCCATCTTTTAGACTTCAGAACTGTGTCTCTTTTTCTGTTTTGACAGTTCAGGACATTTATCGCAAAACATTTTCAAAATACGATGAACAATATGAATGTTCTACCTCAGAAAACAGATGGCAAAACTATGAGTAACATCTGTTAGACCAGGAGTTCTGACTTCTTCGGGCATCAGCCTGTTCCTTCTTGCAGACCTGATTTCCAAAAGGCCACTTTCCATAGGCACCCCCAATCTTCCCATAAATGTATTGTAATTTAATATCTAAAACTTATGTTCATGACAAGTTATGTACAGGTGAAGTTAATATGACCAGAGCATTATTTCATCATGAGCTCTGGCAGGGCTAATTTGACATTTTTCCCTTTTTGTTTTTATGAAGTCCCTCTGTACAGTTTCTGAGGAAGCCACTGGTTTCTGCTCTGCACAAAACGAGGCCTTGAATCTGCGACGATATAAATTTAGCAGGCAGTTTTTTGTTCTCTCTCTCGATACGGTGCTCTACGTGATATAACAACTATTCAGTGGGGACGCCTGACCTCGACACTTGTACAATGATGCTCAGAGGCCACCGAGACCCGTTTTAATCGTGTCGGCACACTTCCGGTACCTTCTATGATGAATTTCTGAGCATATCGCTTCAGATTCTTCTTCCTTATGGGACTCATGGTCTGAGGATAGCAGCCTTCGGCTAGGAAGGTGTAGATATCTTCCAGTCTGTTGGAGGTGGATTCTACGACCTCCTCCTCGGCCACTTGCAAAGAGTCCATACTCAACATCTGGACTTCTTGTACGAGGTGCCACCGCACCGAACGGAAAAGAAGCGAAATAATTTCACCGACGTTCGCGTTTCCCCTCACTCGGACTAAACCGGTGAGCCCTTACAGCTCTCCCTACTATTATTATTATTATTAGCGAGGCTTTGGCGCAGCCCCTTCAACGTCTTCTTGTTGCTCCCCCAAAACCGGAAGGTTTTTACTGACGGACTGCAAGGAAACCCGTCGGATAATGTATTAAAGAGACAGGGCAAATTAAACAAGGAATAAGGTCTTTTCACATACAATTCTTATATATATATGTACTTCTATTAAAAATAGAAATATTACCTTCCACGGCAAAATTTGCAGCACACCTCCGTATGGTTCTCTTTTTATGATCGGGGAGATGTTTGGAGTATTTTCCTTTAGTAATATATTTATAGACGTGCTTGTACCTCTTCACGGATTCTGCATTGCCATTACATTCTTTCTCTTCTTTCTTCACTTTGATGACACTCGTCATTGCTGACCCTAAGAAAACATACAGTATATTGAAGCCTCGTTGTGTTTTGTATTGTTTGTGAGAACCAATGTCTTCAAGGTGGACGTTTCTTTCCGGACACATTTAGAGTTGGGCTACATGATAAAAACATCCGGGGGTTAAGTAAAACAACTGTTTTTACCATTTCTTTTATTTGGTCGTAGAAAGAATAAGCAAACGGAAGTTCACTTTCAAAAGCATTTTCAGAAAGCTCAGAAATGTTAACGAGAGCAATTTAACTGAATTCATATTCAACGACTTAGTTATGCAGAATCATAAAAATCATAAAGCAAAACCATAAAAAATGGACTCTACAAAAGGTGTCGTAGGACAGAAATTCTATTCTTGTGCCTGTTTTTGCACGGACAATATTTATCTTGGAGAATATAAATTACACGTTAAATTCATTTCTGAGCTGCAGTTCAGAAAAGATTATCAGGCGGTATGTACCATTTCCAATATAAGCATGTAGCATATATCAATACAGTGGCACTTGAGAATAACTCACAATAACATCTAAATTAATTGCTTGATTCCATCTATAGTGGATGTTGGTAAGCGTTTGAAATTCACAAGTGTACCTCCGTTTCAGGTGCTGAGAAATCATGGATGCACAACTAACCAGCATTTTGAGGACATTCTGAAGAAGGTAACTCACAAATAGTCCCCCTCACCCCATTCAGAACTGAAATAAAATTACAGAAATATTATTTTTTGTTCTGAACCAATTGTCAATTTACGCTTACGATTCTGAGCACGAATGCCATTTTACAAGCCCTTAATTCATTTTTACAAATATTTCCCCCAGATTGAAGCAGAGATTCAGAGACGACGACAACTAGGTGTCAAGTCAGCTGAAAGAACAGCTTTCATAAGTGAATTCTATAAGCCCCTGCACAGGCATGTGTATGTTTTACAGGTACGGTTAACAGCACTGTTATCCCTTTATGATGTGTAACTACATTACAGCCACATAACCAAAATTCATCCATCCATCAGCTATGGCTACTCTATCCCAGGATCACAGTAAACTGGATCCCCAACTAAAAGCACAAGGTGTAAAGTTTGGGCTAGCCTGGGACAGGATGCCTGTCCATCTTAGGACACACACAGGGACAAGTTACAGACACCAATTAGCATGTCATGTCCGTTGAAGACAGAAGAAAACTGGAGCACCCTGAAATGGAAACCCTAAACAAAGTGAACTTTCCAACTCAAAACAAAAGGTCTCCCAATCAGGAATCAAACCAGGAGCCCAAGAGTTGTAAGGCAGCAGTGCTGGCTACAACCACTATTAGTTCAATTGAAATGCTGTGTGATTAGAAACTTGTATCTGTAGAATACATTTCCTTTTTGTAGAAGCAGATGAATTGCTCATTCACAAACTGAAAAGAAAAAAAAAACATGTAAGTTTGTGAAATGTGAAATTAAAATATTTTTAAAAAAGAAACAGAACTGACTTCTGCTCTCTTTAGGAATCCTACTTGGCCCCTGAATTTCTGCAGATTGTGAACTATTCACGCTCAAAACATGCTACAGTAGAAGGCCTGCACAGTTTCATTCAACCCCTGGCAGGTAATACAATTTTGGCAGCATTAAATAATTTAAGATTCCTTACAATGACTTTCCGGTTTTAATGTACCAAAGGGCATTAAATTAAGTGTAATCTGATTTATGTGTGCAAGTAATCTCATTAAAGATGTCTATCAGATTTTAAGGTTCTTACACGTGCATGCACAAAACATTAAAGCAAAGGCACAATGGATTTAAGCCTTTCAGTAATATACAATGGTTCTTTCCACCTGAAGCAGAAAGAGTCTACCGCTTGCCTGTGTTCACGAAGCAGTTCTGCACAGACCTGATTGAGGAACTGGAGAATTTTGAGCAGTCCGACAGTCCCAAAGGCCGGCCCAACACCATGAACAACTATGGGGTATGAGAACACTTGACCTCCTTTTCAGCCCAAATGTAACAAAATTATTAAATGAATTAGCAAAAGGCAGATTGCGATAAACGAGTTTTAAACAGAACTGTATATTTTTCACTTCAAAGATGAAGCATAGACGAAATATTAGCTCTGAAACAAAAGTAATGTCCAATTGACCTTTTTCAAATGAACATATATATATACACATGACACTAGTGCCTTCTTTCACTGTGTTTTATTTTCTGACACAGATCTTGCTAAATGAGCTGGGATTTGATGAAGGACTCATCACCCCTCTGCGCGTCGACTACCTCCGCCCCATTACTGCGCTCCTTTACCCAGACTGCGGAGGGGACTGTCTCGACAGCCATAAGGCTTTTGTGGTGAAGTACGCCTTGGGTGAGGACCTGGATTTGAGCTACCACTACGACAACGCTGAGGTCACACTGAACGTGTCCCTAGGCCAGGAGTTTACCGAGGGAAACCTGTATTTTGGCAACATGAAAGAGGTGAGTGAGCGAGGATTTGGCAGCTTCAGAAAAGACAGGAACCTATTCATTTTCATGGTCCAAAATAAAACGGTGACATCAGGAACCTTAAAATAAAACAACATTACAATCTAAACTCACCATTGGGGTTTACTGAGCTGAGGTCTGCTGCTGTGTGTTGTGCTTGTGACTGATGAGACATTTACTACCTCCGCCACCTGCAGAGTTGTCTGGATTTGTCTGCTGAATTGCTCGATTTTAGGGGGTTTTATAAATTGTTGGGAGACATTTAAATTGAGATATTTATTCAACTCACTCCACTCAAAGCGCTTTATAGGTAATGGGGACTCCCCTCCACCACCAATGTGCAGCCCCACCTGGATGATGCGACGGCAGCCATAGTGCGCCAGAACACTCACCACACATCAGCTATCAGTGGGGAGGAGAGCAGAGTAATGTAGCCAATTCATAGATGGGGATTATTAGGAGGCCATGATTGATAAGGGCCAATGGGAAATTTGGCCAGGACAACGGGGTTACACCCCTACTCTATCCGACAAACGAGAATTTTAATGACAATAGAGAGTCAGGACCTCGGTTTTACGTCTCATCTGAAGGACGGCACCAGTTTACAGTATAGTGTCCCCGTCACTATACTGGGACATTAGGACCCACATGGACCGCAGGGTGAGCACCCCCTGCTGGCCCCACTAACACCTCTTCCAGCAGCAATCTTAGCTTTCCCAGGAGGTCTCTCATCCAGGTACTGACCAGACTCACACCTGCTTAGCTTCAGTGGGTTTCCAGTTGTGAGTTGCAGAGTGATATGGCTGCTGGCTGCTGAATTCATCAGTCATACCAGTAAAGCAGCAGTAAAATTCACTGGATTGAACTGAACGGTAGCCGCGTGTCTCTCCGTCTCTGCAGGTTCCCATCCATGAATCGGAGTGTGTGGAAGTCGAGCACCGTGTAATGGAGGGCCTCCTCCACCGGGGGCAGCAGCTGCACGGGGCGCTGCCCATCACGGCAGGCCAGCGCTGGAACCTCATTGTGTGGATGAGGTCCTCAGAGGAGCGCAACAAACTCTGCCCCATGTGCAACAAGCAGCCCGAACTGGTGGAGGGGGAGGGTTCCGCCGACGGGTTCACAAAAGTTCCCCCTTCGCAGAATTCCACGAGTACGCCGTGTGCTCTGACCTAGAACCACAGCTCGGCTCAACCCAGCAAGTGAGCTCCCCTGCAAGATGTATTAATCCAGGACACGGTACGCACCTAGTTACGCCACCCGGAAGGAAACTGAACTGCCCAAGAAAAAATACGTTTTTGTCATATACAGTATGTGAAATTGTCCTGCCTCCTAAAACTCAGTAGATCTACAAAGCTACCAGAAATTTGTGTTTTGAAAGAGCGCGGTACAGTACAAGCGTTTTACGAGCATATTAATAAATGACTTATTCACAGTGATTTTTTTACCGTGATCATCCTTTCACAGCGTTTTTGTAAAAAGGAGAATTTTCATGCATCGAGTGTGCTGCTTGCCTTTAGGGCGAGTCTTAAAATAAACTGAGCATTTAAAAAATGTTTATCTTAATGTGTTTTTATGGCTGCGTGTACAACAGTTGTAAGTGTGAAATGTAATATTTGTAGAGACTAGATGCTGATAGAAGTATACGTTTAGAGTCTGTTGATCCCACACAGTCCGCAAGAGAAACCGGATAGTTTTTTGCTCAGGACTGAGTTTTCTAGAGGGAAGCTATTGGCCGTTGCACATAGTGTTGGGGTATAAAAACATGATAGAACAGTAGTCTTAGATCCGGTGTTAACAAATGCACCTACAGATTAATTAAAATATACTTAGCTGTCTTCCAAAGCATATTTACATACTGTATTTAGAGTCAAGCTAAATGTATAACTAGTTAATGCATTTTACAGATTTAATTGAAACTAGTAAACGCATAAAAGGAACTTACCTTTTTGAAGCGGCTTACTAAATGTGTTGGGAGACCGAGTGTCAACAGGAGTGAAGTACTTAAGTAGTGGTTAAAGGGTAAGTAAGAAATTTCATTTCTTTTTATTCCAACTGAATCTGCTGCCAAATTCTGTCCGCAGCGAGAATATGGCCTTCTGCCACCTGCGCATGCGCGCGGACTGCATCGGGACACCTAATTGACGTGACGTCGCCCGTGGAGGGAATTGTGTACCATTAATTGCTTTTCATCTTATTATCGGTGACGAAAAACAGCTATTTTTAATTATGAGCAGGAATGCTCATTATGGACATGTGACATTACCTATCGGCTTATACTTTACCCTCTCTAAAAATAATAAATTTGGTATCATTACAAAAATAGGAGGGTGACCTTATACTAGGTTTACCCACTGGGGATAGTTCCGTATCTGTCCGTTTCAGGTAGGACTTTAGATGTTAAAACGTGTGCGATTCCGGGACCTTTACTGCTCCATCTGGTGATCTTTTCCTTTAACAGAATGTCATTTGCCTGGCGGGTAGAATGATTACATTGATTCTTACTAAACGGCTTGGAGACTTGCAGTCTCACCCTTCAAAGCTGCCTGCTTATGAACCTTTATCGACGGCACAAGCGAATGTGTAATAATGCGATCACAACCTCGATCACCCTGGCCTGTACAGGGCATATTCTCGTTGCTGTTTCATCGCCTGTTAGGAGATTCCCCTGGACTGAAGTGGACCCGGAGCTGTGCTGCCTGCCTGGAACAGACTCAGCTCTTTATATTCCTCCAGGCATCTTGGGCTGGACTGGGCCGCACAGCCCAATGGATCGCAGCCGGTCCCGGGACCAGTCCTTGGGGAGGAGTGAGAGCAGGCAGGCCCGGGAGAAAAAAGAAGCAAAGAAGAAACGACAGAGGAGCTGTTCTTCCTCCTCCTCCTCCTCCTCCTCCAGCAGCAGTACGAGCCCTTCTCCTAAAAGGAAAAGCAGGCGCCCCTCCAGCAAGAAGCCAGGTCTGACCCCCGACCCCCCCTTCACACATTACTTCATCCCCTCTAGGAAAAATACACGTGCTGACCAAAGACCCAAGTTAAATGTGGTTTAGCCTCCTTTTAAAGATTTATTATTCCTGAGGCCAATAATTGGATGATTTAAAATAAACATTCTTCCAGAAGATAAGCTGACAATTGCAGACTTTTACACAATGGTAAACTCAGTCATTCACTGTAGTGGGTTTTGAAGTTTACAGCTCAACCCTGAATTGTGTCAATTATCTTGGAAGGTATAGTGTTCTCTCGTATTTCCTGAAGGCAGGTTCCCTCAGGAAGACAGGTTTGATTCAGTCTACATAAGCGCGAGTGGTCATAATGCATTACGGTATTTCCAGATGGACGTGAGTTCAAATGAAAGCATGATGTGTGTTCTGGCTTGGCAGATGACAAAAGAGACAAGACGAAAGCCAAGAGGAAGAGAAGCTCATTTTCTTCCTCCTCTTCCTCATCTGGTTCGTCTTCCTCTTCCTCGGCGGAGTCAAGTGACAGTGAGGCCAAGAGGAAGAGGAAGGCCAAACGTCGGCTGAAGAAGATCAAAGCCAGGGAGAAGAAGGAGAAAAGGAAGGAGAAAAAGAAGCAAAAGAAAATGAAGAAGAAAATGAAGAAGCTGAAGAAGAGAATGGAGAAAGCAGAGAAGGCTGCTGTTCCTCAGACTCCTGCCCTGCTGCTGGACAAGGCTCCCACCGCACTGGAGACATGGCAGAGTGAAGCATCAGTGGAGCTCGGGCCAGGTGAGCAGGGTCAGGTGAGCGGGGTCAGATGGTTCAGGCCAGGTGAGCCGGTTCAGATGAGCAGGGTGAGATGGCTCAGGCCAGGTGAGAAGGGTCAGATGGTTCTGGCCAAGTGAGCAGGGTCAGGTGAGCAGGGTCAGATAGCTCAGGC